CGGCCTAGAGCTTTTGGAAGTGAGAGTGAGAGGTAATCATACGTGATGCGACTGTTTGTGGGGAGAGGGACGAGAGCAGATGAGAGCTGCTGCTGGAGGATATCACACGTTCACCGCGTGCCTCATCCAGAGGCACCTTCAGGCGTTGAGGGTCAGTTCGGCGGCCCCGGCTTGGAGGAACTATACAAGAAATTTTAGAAATTAAGTAGGAGAAAAGAAGAGGGGAATCAGAAAGGGTTTATAGTCCCTAAACATTTTCCAATGACTTTATCCATAACAGTTTCTCAGGCTAACCAACACTTCTACCACTTCTCCTTCTTTTCTTTTTTTTTTTTTTTTTTTTTTTTTTTTTTTTTAGTGCTAACGATCAATCATGTTGCCTGAGTTTGTTGGTCCGTAGCCGAGGGAGATGCGGGGTGTGGAGGGTCCTGGTGCTGCTGCTGTTGCGACCCGCAGCGGCGCGCAGAGGTGAGCCGCGACTCGCGTCAGCCCGGCCCCGGCCCGGCCGGCCCCGCCGCTGTGTTTGTAGACATGAAACGATGGAGCGTCACCCTTCCCAACCTTCTGCTCACCTTTTTGAAAGGTGACGCGGGGCGCCGGGCAGCAGGAGCAGCAGGTCACCCGGTGCGCACAAGCACAAAAATAAAGAATGACGGCGCCACCTCTCTACCAGCTAGCTGATGCTGATACTAATAAGCAGATGAAAAGAAAAGGAACAGATTATTGTTTGACATTGTCGGAGCTAAAGTCAAAAATTATCGACTTATGGACTCATTTCACACGGCAAAGTCGTAAATTTTCAGAACAACGCGGTTGTCGACAGTTGTGTTATTTGAGTAGAAACAAAATAGATCAGAGGAATACTCACGTAATGGCTCGACCGGCCACTGTCACCTCTGTTGCGTCCGTCCCGCCCGTCTCCACGTGGTCCTACCGGGTCGACAATAGAACCAAATAGACAAAGAAGTAGTTGGGACAGGCCTAGGGGCAGCAACCGGCTCGGACGACGCGCCGGCGGGGGAGCGGGTCGGGGCGGAGGAGGGCAAGACACGTTTCGTTGTCCCGGAGCTTATAGGGGGTCCGTCCCAGTGTGGGGGTCGACCGTGGGCAGAGGACATCGAATAATTGTACAGAGGTATACTGTTTTAAGATCTATCGCACTGCCCGAGGTATGTTGTTACCTCGAGAAACACCCCGGATCGTAACCAAACATTAAAGAAAAACAAAGAACAAAAAACTATTTTTAACCCTACGTACATAACCTTCTGAAAACACACAAAATACTGGAACAGAAAAAATCGGATACACGACAAATCGTACCACACACAACACTCTGTTTGTTGCCCTACTCCAATCAGTTTACTGTAAATACTAATCGAATTTGCTGGATGCTACAGTGGAGCGAAATTTCGAGAATGTTTCTGCAGCTGGCGTTTTGGCGGCTACGGGCAGTCACGTCACTTGCCGAAGTCATTCGGGTGTTCGCTACCGCACGTACCCGAAATGCGCGCCGTAGGGCTACTTGCGAGTTGCACCGGGCAGAGCGCTGCTGTCGCCGTTACCATGTGTGTTGATATCTGTGTAAGATTTATCTTTCTATGTTGGTAGCTCTGCTTGCATTCCCCGCTAAAATTGTTATTCTTGTTGTTCTTGATCTTGTTTACCTGTCGAGTGCAGTTGAGTCTAAATGTCAGTCTTCGTGGAATCTCTGTGGTCGTTGTGTCGTTGTCAGTTGAAGTAAGAATAAACTGTCGTTGCTGAAGTCGAACCTCGTGTCATCTCTGGACAAGTCCCACACCAAATCTACAATGTCAAGTGTCAAGTGTGTCCTCCAAAACCGAAAAGACCCTCGACCTGCACAACCGCGCCGTGACGATGTCCACTCCGCAGCGGGACTTGGGCTTGGACATGATCACGATTCTTACGGATGGGGAAATATCGAAGACTGTCATCCAGGCATTCAAGAGTAAGTATTTTGTTTACTTCTCTTATTACTTTCTCTCGTTTGCTTTTAAACTGTTACGTTCGTTTTCAGTGACGAATGTGATGTGATGTGAAATATTTTGGTTTTCGGTACTGTTCAGTTCACCTTTTGAGGTTAGGTAACTTGCATTCAAGCTTGTGTGAGCTTTATTTCTCCGAGTTGCACAAGTATTCGATCGAGAGCAGACAAATTCACTTCGTTATGTCTATGGCTTGAGTGTGTTGGCGGTTGTGGGGTTAGGAATCCCATTAATTTAGATTGTGGCTCAAAATCAGACACGAGTAGTTGGCCCGATATCAAGAATAAAATGTCTCTCGCGGACCGAGAGGTAGCTCTGGGACGATTAGGGTG